ACGCGCGTGGAATCCCATACTCCCCCCGTTCCTCTCCCCGGAGGGCCGGGGGGGTCTTCCCCCTCACAACACTTGAGGGGGCTGCCGGGCCATATACCAGACCTGCAGGTCAGATTCGGGAACCCGGCTGGAGAAAATTTCCCCATGTAAAAAAAAAAGGGAGAGGGAGAGGGAGAGGGAGAGGGAGAGGGAGAGGGAGAGGGAAAGGGAGAGAGAAAGGGAAGATAGGAGGAGGGAAAGAGGGAGAGGGAGAGGGAGAGGGAAAGGGAGAGAGAGAGGGAAGGTAGGGGGAGGGAAAGAGGGAGGGAGGGGGAGGAAAGGGGAGAGGGGGAAAGAGAGAGAGAGAGAGAGAAAAAGAGAGAGAGAGAGAAAGAGAAAGAGATTGATTGATTGATTGATTGATTGGTTTATTTTATGCCATAGTCACTGACTTTAGGCAAAAAAGAGATACAAATGTATAAGTATACACAAAGAAAGAAAAAAAATTAAACTAAAATAAAAAATAAAACAAAAGTAAAAATAAAAATGAAAAAGAAAGGAACAATACAATTGTGGCAGATGTGTATCAAAGTCGCAAGACTAATTACATAAAAATGTAAAGTAACTTAAACTAATAAAACGGAAAAGAAATAAGCTGACACCCCTGATTATAAAAAAAAAAAATGTGTATCAATAAGTTGCGCATTCGAGTGGAATTCTTGTATTTAGATTAAGACGAAAACTTCGTGCTTTTTGTACTTTTTTGAAATAAAATAAATGTTTCTGTGAAGGATTTTACTTTTTTTCATTGCAGCGCACTATAATATATTGATATTTACGTTGAATACAGTTTGGATAACATTTTGCATGCAATTACATTTGATGTGACAATGTGCCCCGTGACCGGGGGTCACCCAAGCGACCTGTCGTTATTTATTGTTATGTAACAACTGTAGAGTAACAATCACACGAAATTCGATACTGTCCAATTGAAGCTGAGGGTTCACTCGAAATTTTGGCATATCAAAGTACTCTTAAATATTGAATGTAAAAAATACAAAAAATATTGAACCAAATGTGTGACAACGTGCCCCGGTCTACCCTACTTTTAAAAACAGCGATAGACGTTGCTGATACTACGTCAGTAGGAAGCGAGTTTCACAAGTAGACGCCCGCAAGATGGAAGGACTTACGATATGCTTTGGTTCTGTGGATAAAACATGGAAAGAATGAGGTATAGCCAGACGCGATGATCGCCTAACTGAAGGGTCAGGATCAGTGAAAATTTCTGAGATGTAAGTAGGAAACATGTTGTGAGACACTTTGTACATTTCAATGCTTAGAAAATAGAGGCGTCGATGCTTGACTGTCAGCCACCCCAGCCGATGTCGGTAGGGCGTAATGTGTTCGTCGCGCCTTAAATTAAAGACGAAACGAACCGCACAATTTAAAAGTCTCTGAAGCTTGATGTTAAGCTCGTCAGACACATTGTTGTACACAAGGGAACAGTAGTCTAACAAAGGCCAGATCAAAGTAGTCACAAGTTTTACACGCAGATTAAGTGATAGGGAATTTTTATAAAATTTCAGTTTATGCAATGTAAAATGTACCCTTTTGGAGATGTGTGAGACGTGGCTTACCCAAGATAAATCAGAGCGCATGATGACCCCGAGGTTACGTGTCTCAGTAACAAATGGGATGAAAGTACCGTTAACTGAAATGAGGGGCAATTCACTGAGATTTAAATGCCTGACATGACTCCTACTTCCAAGAATCAGGACTTTAGATTTCCTGAGATTGAGAGTCAATCCATTGCATGCGGCAAACTCTGAAATGACACCCACGTCATAAGCAACGAGCTGCAAAGCGACATTCAGTTGGCTAAGAAAACTCCTACGGTAAATCTGCGTGTCGTCGGCAAACACAATACGATCGGTGAACCTGAGGAAGGCGCCAATATCATTTATAAAAAGAGAGAATAGGAGAGGACCCAAAACGGATCCCTGCGAAACACCGGAGGTGACGGACAGCCAATCAGAGAACACTCCTTCAAGGTCAACGACAGCCTGAGACCGACCCGTGAGATAAGAAAAGATTAACTTGAGGGCAGAATCAGAAAACCCTAATCGCCTGAGTTTGGTCAGCAGTAAAAGATGACAGACTGTGTCGAAGGCCTTGCTGAAGTCGGAAAGGACAAGGATAAGCACCTCACCTACTTCAAGAGCGCACTTTATATCATGGAATAATCGCAGTAAGACTGACTGGGTGGAATAGCGCTTGCGGTATCCAGACTGCCGATCGTCAAGAATATGATGAGCATCAATAAAGTCTGTAATTTGGCCATGTAGAATCTTCTCAAACAATTTAGAGAGCTCGCACAAGTTGGTTATGGGCCTCGTGTCAGAAGGAGAAGCAGGAGATTTGACTTTGGACAGCGGGCGAAGTATGGCTCGCTTCCACAGGGACGGAAAGTGACCAAGTTTAAGACAACTATTGAAAAGTGAGGTTAGGAGATTACCAATACAAAGCAGGGCTAAGGCTATGGCGTAAAGTGGTAGTTGATCGCAACCTGAAGCGAGAGAAACGGAAGATGAGGAAACGAAAGTGCATAGATCATCACTGGTTATCTGGAAAAAACTAAAAAGTGGTACATCGGGCACTATGGATGAGATAACATCAGAAAATTGAGATTGAGAACATGAAGGAAAGCAGTTGGAGATAGAGGCATAATGAGCATTGAGAGTATCACGTGAAAAGAAGTTAAGCGGTGAGGATAAGGGCGACTCGACAAGGCCGAGATTAGTAAGCTCGCGCCATAACTTGGACGGGTCAGAAATTACGCTTAATCTCGCCATGTTAAAGTGCTCCCTGGCTTGTCTTAAGTCATCAGTGAGACAATTCCTATATTGCTTATAAACATGAAAATCTAGAACGCTACCAGATCTTCGAGCGATATTGTATAGACGATTGCGATGCCGAATTCTACGAGCGAGAACATCAGTGAGCCAAGACGCAGATGGACGAGTCACACAAAAAGTGCGGATAGGTGCATGCCTGTCCAAACTGGAAGTTAAGTCGTTGACTATGGTATCCAGGATGCCATCCAAGTCGGACTCACTGAGATCCCCACCGCCAAAATTCACTGCAAAAGAAGAAGACAACGTTGAGGTGAGAGTTTCAACGAATCTCCGCTCATCAAATTCTTTATAGCTCCGGCGAATTAAAGTACGCTTCGCAAGGGACAGAACCACAAACGAATACGTCAACTCAAATAAGGTCATGTCCGTTGATAAAGGGCACATCCGACTTGCGAAACGATAATACCTTGTCCAGACTATCGACAATGAAAACGTCGAGCCATGAGTCGGAAGAAAGAGTGTGATAGGTTGATTGCGACTCCACAATGTGAAGCGACAATTGCGAGACTATGTCTCTGAGGTGATTGGGTTCGTAAGATGAAGCAAGGAGATTGCTATTTAAGTCACCCGAAATAATGATGTTCTTGTAGTTATGCACAATCGAAGATAGAGCGTCAACATATTTACCAAAGTTTTTTCCTCTCGGTCTGCGATACATTGAAGTAAAAAAAAGAGGCTCGCATGCGTCGCCCCGAACATCAAGAACAAGATATTCGGGTTCATTAGAGAAGGACGGAGGCGACGCCGCCAAAACGCGCGCGCAGCGAGTCGTGAATATAGCAAGCAACACCTCCCCCTTCCCTACCCTTTCTATCAGCACGTAACAAATAATACCCTGGGATGCGAACTAAGTCATCAGAAATATGCGAATGCAGCTAGGTCTCTGAAATCGAGATAATGTGAAAAAAGTTTGACGCTATGAAAGCCTGGACTGACTCAAGATGGGCAGGAAGGGAGCAGGCATTGAAGCATGCGATCCTGAGACGACGCAAAGCAGAAGGAACCACATCCGCCGCCACAGGTCAGTGAAGCCGCTCAAGATCAGCCTCCGAGGCTATGGAAATTGGAGGCAGACCATTGTCCTTACGGACAAAAATTTGTCCGTCTCTACTCCAGACATGTTTGAAGGACAGTTGCTTAGCCCTGGCCCGCGCCCGACACAATAGTTTATAAGTATGGGTCGGAAGCAACTCGTTGACATGTATATTGCCGGGAATGTTAGTCGAGAAAACATCACTCGTAGTTAGACGGCGCTTGCCCTGCATTATTTTTAAGATGTGGTCGCGAATCTCAAAAGATTTAAGCGCGACTATCACTGACCTCACGGGACCAGCAGCATCGGCCTGATCGGAGGCGGAAACGGACGCAGACGTTGCATCATGCGCCACAGGCGCATCGCGTACAACTACATCGCGGGTCTCAAGGAAGTCAGAAACGAGCTGAGGCACTCCAAGTGCATGAAAAACACTATTAACAAGTTCGCGGGATGGTTCAGCGACAGAACGAGGAATGCCCGAGATAATAATTTCAGACGTCCGAGGAACATGCAGCAGAAGACTCGCAACGCTCCGGGAGGCCAGCAGGCTCGCATTCTGCGCCTCAAGCACAGCAATTCTTTCACCGTGACTCGCGACAAGCTCTAAGACGCGTGGCAACTGGTTCAATTTAAGCGCGAAATCAGCATTTACAGCCTCTTGACGATTAATAAAAGCGGTAAGCTTTTCGTCAGACTTCTCGAAGATGGCAGTGAACTTTTTGTCTAACGCGTCAAATTTTTTGTTAGTTTCATCAATCTTAGACAGAATGGACCGTAGCAATTCGTCAGACTGCGATAGTGCACCCGAGGGAGAAGCCATGTTCGAGAAATCGAACGACTGCACACTGTTTACAGCCTGCGGCGTAAGCGGGATATTCGATGACGTTGCCAGAGCTCTACAGCAATGGTCCGCGTATCTGGTCACGGAATAAGGCTTGATGCAACCGGGATGAAATAGTTTTTTGCAATCACACTCGAGCGAAACAGTCGCAATCGTCTTCTTGCACTTAAAGCACGCGCGCTGCATAAGTAATACGTTCAGCAGGTAAGAGAGCCGAGCTAGAGAAATGCAGTACAGCAGTCCAGAAGGTAACAGATTGTAGTACGTTCGGAAGCCCTTAGATGGTAACAGATTGTAGCATATCCCAAAGCTCACAGATGGTAACTTATGCGTGAATCCAGGTGCGAGAGATAGGAAAGCACGGAGATAAGAAAAGCATGCGCAGCAAGAGTCACGTCAATCCCAGAATGATGAGGCAAAAGTGAGGTTAGAATAAGCAGCGACACTATACCTCGAGATATCCAGGACAGCATTTGCAAGGAAAGAAAGATGCAATATCTATCCTGACAAGTAACAATAGACTTGCTGTGTCCTGCAACAAAAACAGCCCGGAGGCAGCTTACGGCAGAGATGGAGTTCGCCGAACACAGAGCAAGGAAACATGGCAACGTGCGGTACTCACGAGAGGGGGAGAGAGAGAGAGAGAGAGAGTGTCGTGAGAGAGAGTGTCGTGAGAGAGAGAGAGTGGTCCAAAAGAAGGAAACAGTAAGGTAGTGGATGAATTGGAGGTTAGGGTTGGGTACGTCCCTTCAAAACGCCCTTTAAGGCTGCTTGGGGTATATAAAGAAAAATTCTTTATCCAGTCCCCTAGTCTTGCCTTAACTGGTCGGACAACGCTTGGTCTCGCCTCAGCTGGCTGGACCGTCCCTCAGTCTTGCCTTAACTGGTCGGACAACGCTTAGTCTTACTTTAACTGGTCGGAAAATGCTTGAATTTTCAATGTTGGTAGCAAATTCGTAACCAGTGCCCATTCGAGCAGCCTTACGGAACATAGGAAGGTGCCGTTGCGGTTTTGGTCGCCATATTTAATCCGCCATCTTGAATTTTAGAATTTTTACTTCAGTTTTGTAATCAACGACCTTAAAAACCATCCCATCAATAGTTTTAGAGCTTCTTTGATTGATCGTGTGGCATACGGAAAGTCGTTTACTGATTTTTTTCTTGTTTTCTCCGATTATTATCGTGACACCTTGATAGCCATCTTGAATTCTCAAAAAGGCAACACGGTACAAAAAACTACATATCATTACCTACAATTTGAGCCCTCATTGACCTCAATCGGTCGACACAAATTTTGGGCAAAGGGGGGGTGTCCGGTTGACAGAGAATGCCCCATATATATATATATATATATACACAGAAACTGACACGAACACCTTGTTACGGTTTTATACCCCTTTTTCATACGTTTGCCTCTTAATAAAATTTTATGAAATAATTTGTTAGATTTATACTTAAATATTTGTTTTTCGCTTATTTTGAATACGATAACACCGAAATTTGTAGCTTCGAAAAATTATTGAAAATATGTAGCGACAAGATGTGCTAACGTATTTCTGTCGTGTATGACAAACTATGAATAAATGCGTACCCACCCAGCATAAATATCACGTTGTTAATAAAATTCTGATTACACTATATTCTCTTTGATTATATTTATGGCGATGTGCAAAAAGAATTTTTGATGTAATAAAGTTGGGAATGGATGTTTCACGAATTAAAAGATTAATTAAATTATTTGTTTTAAAAATATGTTATATTTTCTATAACATATTTAAAACAAATAATTTATTATATATTTTTTCAACAAATAAAATCTCGTTTTGTTTATATTCATGTTGCGTTCTCGTATGTGCGCATTAAACAACAATATTTTGTTTAAATAAAAAATATATATTTTGCTTCCTCATAGAGGAAGCTTTGTTTTCGCTAAAAAAAAATTTTTTTTTGTTTTTTTGAATGTGTTCAGAATGTTCTAAAACGTCGAAAAATTGTAATTTAAAAAAATGTCTGTATGTATGTGTGTGTGTATATGTGCCAAATTTACCGAAATTTCTATAACTCCAAAACTAATCAACCAAATCTTAACGAATTATATATGAAATAGGGGTAGAAAAAACTGAGGAATATAATAGAATTAATAAAAATTGCTAATAATCAAGGGGTTCTTTTTTAATAAAATTTTGAATTTTTTTAGAAATGTTTGTTTATGCTTTAATTTCCGCAAATTTGGAGATATCGATCTATTTCTAATTTTATTATATTTTTCAGTCTTTTTTCTACCCCTATTTCATATATAATTCTTTAAGATTTGGTTGATTAGACTCAGCTTTATACGCGATCAAAGGTCCCTAGTTTTTAGAAAAATGTCTGTAATAGCTTTAACTTTTGTAAATTTTAAGATATTGGTCTATTTTTAATTTTGTTATATTCTTCAGTCTTCTCTATTTCTATTTTATATAATTCTTTAAGACCGGTATTTATAGTTGGGTCTTATATTCAAGATCGTCTTAAGTATAGTCTTAAGGCGTCATCAGCCAATCAGAGGGCTGTATTAGCATCTTAAGACGTCACTTCCTCTATGAGCCAAGTGCAAATTTCTAATTTGCACCATTTTAATTGAGGCCTGGTACGCAACTTAACATGGAGATTACTATAATTGTAAGTTATGAGAAGATTTAGAGGCCTAACGACGGGTTACATGAAAAATCTACTGCAACCTTGGTCCTTACTATTTTTCTTTAATATTACTTAACTCTTTAATATTATACTTTAATATTACTTAACTCTTTAATATTATACTTTTATATAAATCTTTGTAACTATCTATATATTTAATTAGAAAAAACGAATAGCTTATTATTTTATTTGTATTTTTTGTTTAATTCAGAATCATGAGCTTATTATTTCTCATCATAATAAGTTATTCTTTCACGAATAATTTATAATATATAAATAGAAATATTTATTTATTCTATTAAATGTGTTGTTGATTGATCAAATGGTATAAAATTTAATCCAATATGCATAAACAATAAATTGTACCTGTTGCATTATTAAAAGTCATTCTTAAATTCCAATGTAAAGTAATAGTCGCTATGTTATAACAACTGATGTATATAACATTAAAATACATATTTTATATTTTGGTAAAGTATAAATGCTTTTGCAATCGTTGGATCAACGCTTTGTATTCAACTTAATGCAACGACGAACAAAGCATCGTGAACAAAAATCCGAGTTTTTTCATTGATTTTACACCGGGGTTTAGAATAGAAGCCGTTTAAAGCCAAAAATAGAGTTCTTGTTCAAACTGGAATAGAAATTAACGCTCCATTTCAATTACGTGCAATCTCGTGTGTAAATTGAAAATACTACAATATTCGCACGAATTGAGGTCCTCCGTTATGTTGAAATTCTTCGATATATGGTTCTTTCTATTGCAACGTCATTTACCACTCGTGCGAAAGAACAGAATCTTTCTTTGGTTATATTTAATAGAAATTAAACTCTTTAAAAAATTTAACCATATAAATAAGAGTTTTGCCATTGTATATATGTGTATATGTAGATATTAATATATATAAATAAACTTATTGAATGGTACACGATGGGTTAGAAGTTAAAATTATTATTTCTTTAGTAAAATAATGATGGTAATGAAGATAATTTCTATTAATATTCTGCAGCTAGTGATATGAACAAATGTTTACGTAGTACGTTAACAAATTAAAAAGATATATATATTTTAATTATATATTTATGAATTGTTAAAATAAGTTTTGTAATAAAATTATTTAGAAAAATATGTTTTTAAAGATGTTAAGTGTGCGCGCACGTTCGCGCGCGCGTGTGTGTGTGACGGTCATTTCACCAACCAAAATCTACGTAAAAATCAAATATTCCTGTTGTAATTTAAAATAAAATATTTATATTGGGTACTGTAATTATTTTTTATTTTGCATTCTTGATATTGTATTTTAATTTGTTGATTTATTTTATCTGTTATGTCATTTTATTAAAAAAGATTTTTAAAATATTGGTATAATTAATATAAAAAATCTTCACGTTTGCACATACACACATACTGACAAGAAAGTTCATTTTAATGACCCGATTTTTTAATTATATTTTAAAATAAAAAATAACGCATTGTTTATGTATTATAAATATTGATAAATCTTATTGTTTTTTTATATAATTAACACACACAAACATGCGCGCGCGCGCACGCACACTTTCTTTGCTTTTTTTACTATATTACTTTACTATTATAAGTTTTTTATTAATTATTAATTGTTTATATTAATTAAACTGTATATTTCTTATACTTTTACAATAGGTACTGTTATTACATATACGCGTGCGCGCGCGTGTGTGTGTGTGTGTGCGTGCGTGTGTGCGTGTGTGTGTTTGTGCGTGCGTGTGTGTGTGTGTGTTTGTGTGTGTGTAGGGTAAGTCGGGGCATGATGCCAAAGTTAAGAAATATTATAGAAATATGCATAAATCGATAGTCACAACTGCTTCGGAATTTTTGCAAGATAATATATATTTAAGCTTTCACATAGCAGTGCTAAAAATAGCCACTTTAAAAGTTATCGTTAAAATGTTGTAATTTTATTATTAAATATATCATGAATAATATTAATATATTATAAATTTAAATTATTTGATATAGCAGCGCCAAGTTTTTGCATTAAATATTTTTTAAATTTTGATTAAATTTTATAAACATTGTATAACAGCTTCTTTTTAAAGATTTATTGCTACTTGATGCTTATATGTTACATACAATTAATGTATGTAGGTATATGTGCATTAACAGATATAAAATTATTGCAAGTTGTGTTTTACTACAATAATGCCTTTTAATTATTTATTATAGTTAATTATTTATAAGTCGTAAAATATATCAAAGCTATTTTAAAGCCAATTAAACTATTACAATGCCAATTAAACTATTACAATGTGCACCAAAAATATAAGAGACTCAAAGGAATTGTAGCGCTGTATAAAAATAACGAAACTGTGTCAACAGAAGTATCGACAGGTGTAACCTGTTTTAAATATACAAACATATGTTAGATAGGATTGATGTTTGTATACATGCGTTAACTCGTAAGGTTATTGCAAGTTGCATTTAACTTCAGGCAAACGCCTTTTATTAAAGATATGTAGAACAGTATACATATGTACTATTCGCGAGAGTTATTCTTGACACTTCTATATTTTAATCAGCAGAGAATATTGACCACTCTAGAACGGAAATCTTTTCTCTCCAGAAATACGCTTGAATTATCTTTGTCGTATAAACAGCAGCATCATCTTGTTCAAAAATATATTCTGTATCACTAATACGTCATGTAGTTACTAACTTGATCTTAGTTTTTAATTAATTTTAAGTAGCTGGCACTGTTTATTCTGTCTTGAATAAAATAAAAATGTCTATTTTCGCATTATGCCAATTGCTGCCCAAATTATTTTGAAGCACACATGTTATCTTTCTATCCGGGAGTGCGTGTGTGCGTGCATGCGTGCGTTCCTATATCTCTCGCTGAAATATTGTACAAAATGTGTTAAAATTTTATATGAAATAAAAAATAGCAGTTTTTTCATATAATATATGTATATACAAAAATTATATCTATGTTTTTAATTATAATTAAAATTAATGCACTTTCTTGCTTGTGTTGTTATTGCACAAAATAATTATTATAGGTATCAAGAATTAGTTGTAAATTTATTTCAAATACATTTCTGATAATAATTACATTTTATGACCTGTTTTATAGTCAATCTACGTATAGAAAAAAAATAAAAAATAACATGAGAAAATATCGTAAGATTTCAGGAAATCTAAGGAAGATATTTAGACAAAACAATTTCAGTCGCTAACAAATAATTCAAAATAAGTCGGTTTATTTCGACCCAACTGGCCAATTGATACAGGAATTGCACGACGTTTCGACCGAATTCCGGTCCTTATCGAGTGCCTTTGTTCGAGTTACACCGATCCGCATAACAAAATTAATTGCATTGTTAGCTCACCATTACGTATAATTGTTTCCACTTTAGGCAGTCCGCTTTATAATATCGCCAATCTTTTGCATAAAATTTTAGAAAAATCTGTTCCTAAATCCGAATCATATATTAAAGATGGTTGGTCCTTTGTGGAACTGATTAGAGGAGTAAGAGTGGGAGGCGGTGACGTTTTAATTTCGTTAGATGTCACCTCTCTTTTTACTAACGTACCTAAAGATCTTGTTTTGAAAGCGATTGAAAAGAGATGGAATTACATCACTACTAAGACTGATCTTAGCCTCCCACAATTCTCGAGAGCTGTGGATTTAATCCTCAGTTCCACTAGTTTTATGTTTAACGGCCAATTTTACAAACAGATCTTCGGAAGCCCGATGGGGTCTCCTCTCTCTTCTATCTTGGCGGACATGGTCATGGAGGATTTAGAGAAGCATTGTCTACAGCGGCTTAGTTTCAGGATATCCTTTTTCAAACGATATGTGGATGATATTTTTGCGGTTGTTCCTGAGTCGGGTATTAAGGAATTATTAGATAGTTTCAATAATTACCACGATAGATTGAAATTCACTTATGAAATGGAAAGCAATGGTGAATTGAGTTTCCTTGATACCACGGTAATTCGCGAGGGAAGCTCATTGCTCACGAATTGGTTCCGTAAACCAACTTTCTCGGGTCGGTATATTAACTATTTTTCAAACCATCCTATGAAATATAAAATTAACATCGTACGGAATCTGGTTGATCGGGCGATTCTTTTGTCCGACTCGCGGTTTCACAATTCCAACATTAGTGAAATCAAAAAGATCCTTGTAAATAATTGTTACGAATAAAGTTGTTGATAAATATGTTAATGTCCGACTTGGTGAATTGCGAAATCGTAACAACAACGATCCTGTCAGTTGCGAAGTGGCCCAAGATCCTCGAAGGTGCATTACTGTACCTTACGTAAAAGGCCTTAGCGAAAATGTTAGCCGTACAATGCGAGACATGAATTTTAGGGTTCTTCACATCATCCCGAAGAGATTAGATTGATTAGGAAGGGAAAGGATGGGTTGCCGAATCTCAGTCAGACTGAGTTAGTTTATAAGATTGATTGTGCAAATTGTGATGCTGTATATATTGGCCAGACAAAAAGGCACTTAGAAACACGCATCAAAGAACATCGATGTGATATCAGGAAAAATGTAGATAATCATTCTGTTGTGAGTAAGCACCGGCTTGCACACAATCATGATTTCAAGTAGCAGCATCCTGAAATTTTATATAGAGAAAAGCATTTCAAAAAAACAGAAATATCCGAAATGTTTTTCATTAAAAAACATGATTGCACAATCAATTTACAAAATGATACTGAGAGCCTGCCATCTATTTATAACCGTGTCATTGGTATTACTTACAATTAGTTTGCTCTTCATATTTTGGTTCTGCTCGTTTTTCCACCAGAGCGCTGTTTGTTATTCGCGGATTACGTTGACAACTTCAGTTTGACTTTGACTGTCTTACTGTTCGGACGTTGTTGCCTCGATATGGCTGGTGACGTTTTTAATCTCATGTATCACCGTTTGTCTTGGAACGCATAAGAATTGTAAGCTTTAATTAATTTTATAATGTTAATTGACTTTATTGTTTTTGACTATCGTGATATTGTAATAATTTTGTAGAGTTTTTCTATTGTTAAATGTATAAATTTTTTCTCTTGTGTTTAGCTTTGCGTTTATCTTGATGTAGTCAAGACACCACATCAACGATGCAATTAATTTTGTTATGCGGATCGGTGTAACTCGAACAAAGGCACTCGATAAGGACCGGAATTCGGTCGAAACGTCGTGCAATTCCTATATCAATTGGCCAGTTGGGTCGAAATAAACCGATTTATTTTGAAGATATTTAGCTTCAAACTCGAGCATGTGAGTAGGTATACGAATATTTCGTATCTACTAATATTAATGATGTCTTGTCATGCGAGAAGGTAACAACTGCTGATGTGCTAATGCAAAAGGGCTAATGCCGGTGTGCTAGTAGATGATTAAGCCACGTAAGAATTTGGAACAGAACCATTTGCCGGCAGATTGATAAGCCAAAGTTGGCATAAGCAACGTTCTCGTGCGTGTACCCGAGTCATACGTACCGTGACATCACTTTGTTGAATAAAGAAAGAACTTCACTGAAGATATGTTAAGTTTTTTCACTTGTCTTAGCCTATAATGTTATTAATTTTCCCGATTTTATACACTGTTAAATTTGCAGTGTCAAATTATATTCAATTTGAATCATTTTTAACTATTCATATAGGTCGCCACTGCTCCTATTCAATATGTTAATTTAACTAAAAAAATATGTTAATTTAACTAAACTAATGGAGTTAAAATAACACTTTTGTGTTAAAATAATATATTTCGACACATATATGATAGTTAAAAATATTGTTTAACTCAAAGTATTAGTTTAAATTTCATCCTTCGATATTTAACAGTGTATTATAGATACCAATTTTCTCAAATACAAAATTTTATAAAAAAAATTGTGATTTTTTTAAATAAAATTATCATTTTCTTAGTTATACCACAAGACAGGTAGAATACGATTAATATGTATATGTATTAATCCTAAAAATAAATAAATAAAAGAGCTAGTTAAAAATTTAAAAAAATATCTCATAAAAATTTTGCGATATGTGGGAATTTTTTCTGACGACTGTTTCGTTCATCTCACACTTTTAATCGATATTGTTGCGCTAGCGCAACGGCCGAAGTCGACCGTTGTATACACAATCAACGGAAGTGCGGTCAGAGCGTTTTCGAATGAAAGCAAGTGCACGAAGCAAGCCGTCGCCGTTTATTCATATATTTTCATATATCAATATGCGTCGTGCATCGTCTATGGAACCGCTGCATTGCTTGCGTAAAGAAGCATTCACATGTTTCGCTTTGAATGACAGTGACCTATAGCAATTTATTTATAGCAAAAAGTGTATAAATCACGTAAATAATGTTTTTATAAATTTGTACACATTTATTATTAATATAATAATAAAATAGTATCTTCTTATTCTACATAATTTCTTATTTTTATTTTGAGATTTTATTTTTCTTAGGGAAGTGTAATAATTGTTAGTTTGAGTAAATAATAGTTGATGCTTTTGTTGCAGGAGCGATATTTGAGCGAGGAAACAACAAGGAATGAGAGAGAGTTGAGTTGAAGTATATATACATGTATGTATTTATCATTTTAATGTAGGTAATCAAATCTACTCTATGGAAATTGCACAATTATATATGATATTTTGCATTAATTTATAATAGTTGATATAACTTATCAAATGCACGAAATTGAATAATGTAAAGAGTATTTATAAAATTATATACCTGATTAGAAAAAAATATTTTCCAATTCCAAAATTTGACTTTTAAAAATTATTGATACTTTATCTATTATATGTACAATAATAAAGCACTTATTTTATACATTTTATTTATTTTATGTAGAAATTGTATATTCCTAGCTGTATATAATAATCGTATATAACTGTATTAAACTTACTAAAGGTTAATATAAATTATAGATTCTAGAAAATAAATAAACATAATTATTATACCTGTAATTTATAATTGTTTAATTTTTATTATACCTGTACTCTAATTTAAATGTATGATGTATTTATTGCATTTTCCCGTAGGGCTTACAAGGCGTTTTTTTATAAGGAACGTACCCAAACCTCTTACATATGCTCATTCCCCAATGTCTAGCCATTTGCGACCTCAAAAATATTTACCCTCCCTCCCTGTAATCCTCTTCACCCTTCTTCTTCTTCCTCCGTTTCTGCCACGACTCCGTCCTTTAGCCTCCCTCCTTCCCGTCTCAGCTCTTCCCTATTTAGCCCAATCTCTCTTTCCCCCATCCTCCTTCTCCTCATCGAAGACCATGAGAAGTTTCTCCTTCATCCCTCTTGTAATTTTTTCCTCCTCCGACCTCCCTGTATTCCTGCGTATCCTCCCTTCCATTTTCTCCTCTCTCTCTATTTCTCCTTTCCACAGACTTGTCCTCATGGATCTTCACCCCTATGCTGTTCCCTGCCTTTCTCCTCGCCTCCAACACCCGCCACTTCTCCTCTTTGTTTCCCAGCTTCACCAATATGGTCATCCATATTCCTCTCTGCCCCACCACAATCATCTCTCTCACCGTCATCCTTACCTTTAGCCCTTCCGCGAATAACTCCTTTACTTTCTCCCAATTCAACTCCTTGCCTCCCCATTTCTCCTTCTCGAACCTTAAAATTACATTCCTTTTCCTTAGTTCGTCCTCGTTCCTTTCACCTACCCCCGCCCATCATTTCTTCTTCTCAGTCCCACTCTCCTCGTATTCCTCTCTCTTCCTTTTGCTTCCCCTTTGCTCTATTCTTTCTATTTCTATTTTTCTCTCAAAGCTCCTTACTTTCTCCTCCAGCTCCTCCATCCTCTCGTCCTTTTTCCTATCGTCCTCTTTCCTCTCCCTCAGCATCTTTCTTACTTTCTCCTCCACAATCCTTTCGACCGCCTATGCTATTGTTCTCTCCTCGCGTTCCATCCTGGAATCTTTAATCCTTCCGCAACTTGTCCTTTCACTAATCACCGCTTACCTTTCTCCTCGTCTTATTCTCCCTTCCGCAACCGAATTTTTTGCTCAACTACACGTGCGCCGGGCCTTACTCACGCGTCCGCCTCGTGCTGCCAAGCCAGACGTTCGATTGCTCGATCCCTCGACCCGTCGCGAAGACTCCCCGCTCCGTTCCGCACCTGCCGCGCCACCATCACATTCCTCTGTCTCTCGACAGGTCGATCGATCGCTCGCTCGAAACTCCATGCTGCCAACTCGCTCAGCTCCCTCATCGTGTAACCTGGGCTCTTTATTTTCCTGCTTCACATCCTAACTTCTCAGGTGTTCCCTTACTTTCTCTCCTTGCTGCTCCTCAATCACACTATCCTCGACCTCTCCTCCACTTTCCCGACCTCCTCCAATCCTCCTCCACATGCTCCACCACCCCACTTCATCCTCCCTTGCTTCACCTCCCCTCGAAAATCTTTTTCTTACTCCTCTCCACTCCGAGCCAAACCGTCCACTGCTCTCCCCTCCCAAGCTCCTCACTCTAATTTAAATAATGTGTATTATTTATTCCTTTTTTATTACTTCAGCTTGTTTTAAATGCAATTTTAGTTTCTTGACTTTTGGCTTGCTGGCATAATGCTATGACTAGGATTGGTTATACGATATATGTAAATTAAAATAATATTTGAGAAGGACCAAAATCAGAGGTCAAAACGTCGTGAGATAAACGAATAAATCATTTGTGCCAGTTAGCGTCGAATATTATTTTCCTATTTATTCACTGGCGAGAAAAAGTTCACTTTCTGGTTTTGAGATATATTTCAGTAATCTATAAAAAATTCTACTCGAAAAGGTAAACGACATTATTTATTACTTGAATATTTATAAGAAAAAAAAACAGGGGTCACTTAACCCCCCCCTCTCTCTCTCTCTCTAATTTCAATTTTTATATCTTTTTTCAGATATACCACCCTATCGCCAATCAGATTTTCAAAAAGAGCAACTCTTTTTACTTTTAAAACATCAATTGCAGTCAAAAAATTCTGATTAGAACTTGAGTTACAAAAGATTTTAAGAAATTAAAAACAGATAAGTGCGTAGAGATCTCCCTAGAACTTAATGGGTTAATATAATTGCAATGCAAACAATTTTTTTTGCGTATATGTTTAAAAATTGTATAATTATGATAATTGAGAAATATTGTACATATATTATATACATGTACATTTGTATGTATGTAACATATACAGGGTGTAACAAACAAAACGCCCGTAACAGGCGCTTTTTTTTAAATGCCCATTTTCTTCAAAAATGTTCCATCCAAAAGTTATAGGGTTTCAATGGGAACAAATAATGGTAGAATAAATTTAAAAAAATCGATTTTTAAAGTCACATAAAAGTCATCGCCATTTTTTAATTATAATTGTATAATTTTTTTTAATAATATTGTTGTGCGGCGAAGGTCAACGATCCCGAATTGCGACACCTAGCTGTCAGCGTTGCTTCCGGATCTTGCCAAACTCACCTGAGGTGGCATTCCGGGTTTCGCAAGTGGCATCCAGGTCACTCGCCCGGAAGCAAAAGCACTGACAGCTAAGTCAGCACCGCGGAAGCTAACGCGCGAGTGATAAAAGCCCGCCCTTCCGAGAAGCGGCGGGCAGTCTAGACCGAAAAGCTATAACGCGCACGACCGAATGTAATCGACTATACGAACGCCCGTAAGTCACGGCCGTGGATTAAAAACACCTGTGTAGTAAAATTTGTGTAACACTAAGTTTATTAAAAGCTATTCTACAAGAATCTGGACAAGTGTGTCTTCTCTCTCCCGGCGGATCCCAAAGAGCTCCGTGCCGATCCTGTAACCCCAGGCGCGACACAACAAAATGATTTTTTTAATTATTCTATGTACACATAAAAGTATTAAAGTAGAGTTCTCAAAAAATTAATAGTTTGCGAGATATTTTATACTTTATTCTGGCACATTTTGACATGAAATATACAATCTTATGATATTAGAAAATTGCACCAAGTAAAAATAAATCTTTGGAAAAACGCTGTTGTATATATTTTTACAAAACTTTATAAAAATAAAAAAAATCTAATGCAAAAAAACTTAGCGTTGCTACATCCTATAACTTAAATTTATAATATTAATATATTAATATTTGTTTGAGATCGCGGTAATGGGCATCGCGAACCGCCTTCGGTTGCATGTAAGCGCATGCACGCTTGCGATAATTAATATTCTCTCAAAATGTCGCATGAGATTTTCACGGTAATATTCAGTACAGCATGGATCTTTCGGGATTAGCATTCTGGCAATTTCTCTAACATTGTCATCAACAATAAGGTCAAGCTTTGTTCAACGGTACGAACGACTTATTTATGCTTACACAAAGAAAAAATCCATGCTATAAACAAGGCAGCCGAAAACAGGTAACGATCGCTTCGGGTCGTCACTTGAAAACCGTGACGTAAGCACGGTGACGTAGGCCGCCGGTGGCCAATCACCCTCGCGAAATCATCGGTAACTAGCTTGGAGGGAGCCTCGTTTCGGAGGTGATAAAAAACCGTCGCTGCGCCGCGAAAGTGCTTGTCTGCCCTTTCGGCTATTCGCTCGTTTATCGCCAAGTATATCTCTATATACGACCGCTTTGTTATACCGCTTATTACCGCCTTTTTGCAATCCACACTTGCTTGCTTTCGCGCCGCTTGCCGTGCTAACCTCTGTGCGCGCTCACGGCACTCCGCCTGAAATAAACCTGTGTAAATACTTGTATATACTCATTTAAATAGACTGCGTTATTTTCTTGTAATTCTGGACTTGCTGTTTTCGTTCCTTGTGGTCGTCTTCTACCTCGCGCTATACCGCGTTACCGCGTGCTCTCGAACAATATTATTGTTGAAAACAGTCTGATGTCGCTCCAATCAACCAATGTATTGTAGGCGCCTTAATGCACTACCAGCGCCACCATCTAAGTTTCCTATCTATATAATATTTGCTTTGTATCGAGTCTTCTTCTCTCTTATATAACAAGTCATACATTTATTATCAGAAAGATATTCAAGCTGTATTAAGTTGGACAAGCTCT